CCTTGTAACAATAAGCCCCGCTCAGTGGGAAGAAAAACCCAGGCGGGGTCCAGCGGGGCCCAAGGCCCCCAAGTCAGCCCCTCCCCAGCCTCAAGGTCCGTCACCACAGGACCCGAGGCCGAGTCCTCTCCCCAAGCCCCGACCCCACAAGACAAGGACGGAGCAGCCGGAAAAGCTGGAGGAAGGGGGGCCCACTGGTCAGACCCTGAAGCTTCGGCCGGGAGACAAGACTCTAATGCCTCTGCCGCCCCCCTGGAAGGGGCAACCCCCGAAGCTGCCCGAGTCTCGAGATCAAGTAACCCCTGCTCCGACCCCGAAACCCTCAGACGCTTCGGGGCCGGAAGCAGGGGCGGGGGACCAGAACGAACAGAAGGGGAAGGACGAGGAGGTGCGGACTGAACCAGGATCGAAGCGACCCCCACCCCCAAGTCCGGGTCTCGAAAAGCAAAGCGGGGCAGCCCCGGGGCATCCGGGGAAGCAACCAACCGAGCGCGTTGCAACAGACGAAACCTAGACTGCAACGCACGTGCCGCCTGTACCCGAATAGAATCATCAGAGAATTGGGTAAATTGAGACACAAGCAAGCAGCAACACTCACAGGACTCAGGGTCGAAAGTATCACCGACCCAACAGGCAGCGTGGCAGAGGCAAAAACAATGAGGGTCACCCTGAGACAAGGGGACCGAGCAACCCTCAAACTCGCACACAGCGAGTGGGGACTCCGGGGTCACATCCATCGGACCCACGCGCCCCCTAGGGGATTCCCAGGGTCCTGAGCGTTTACTTTAAGAGGACTCGCGCTCAGGTAGTCCCAGGCAGGGTGCTGCAAACCGGCGCCCAAAACTACCAAGCAAACTTCTAAAGCTGAACCCCAGGGACGTGTACACTCACGGGGACCTAGCAGGGGGCGCCACCGAGGAGAACAGTGGAAGGGCAAAAACAAACTGAATAAAATGACAGAACCCCCCACCAGGCAAAAACAAAAAGAAAAACAAAACCCCGCAAGAGGACAGCGAACCCCAAGGAACAGAGCCGGCCGCGATGTCGGGAATTACAAGCTGAGCAGCACCCTGCGCCCCTACCAGTGCAAACTGCCTCTTACCCGCCGGTAACAAGGGAGAACAGAACACCCAAGAGCCCAACAGGCGGCCGAAAAACCGAAAGGTAAAACGGACCAGCAGAGGCAGACCCCGAGGAGCCTGTGGAAGGTGGCCCCAAGCCCCAAGGGCAGTACTTACAGGGCACCTAGGGAAGGCAGCCCTAGGCGCATGCAGCCCGAGTACTGAAGATAACTCCTGGCTCTCGCACCCACAAAACTAACACCACACGCAAAGCACAGTGCAGTAGCGACACCGGAGCCAGAGCACACGACCATCGCCTATAGCATCAGCCTCAAGAACTGAGGTGTGGGTAGCCGGCGCGGGGGGTCTGGGGCTCCCCCTTCCCCCTCCCGGGGAGGGGGGAGCTGCGCAGACAGCGGCGCGGCAGTGTGTGACGTCACACTAGTTTGCTTGTTTTCGGTTGGGGAGTTCTATCCACTAGTTCGGTTTTTGGTAGCAATTTTAACCAGAATAGGGGTTTGTTTTGGGGCGCTTACCTTTCTGGGTGCCTGTTCCGGTCGATGGCAGACATAGAATGCTTCCAACTACACGGGGGCTTCTATAGGCCATTGCTCCCCTTGCCTCTCTGAGGGGGCCCGGTTCTGGCCGTGGTCCCCGGTAGGCCTAAGAACTCCATACACATGACTGATGCCAAAGTCTGACATTAGCATATCAGCCTGGGATAGCTCCGGGGAGCCGACGGGGCTCCCCCCAGAAAAATGAAAATACAAAAAATATAAAAAAAAGAGTTGCGGAGTTGCCACAAAGATATTATCTAATTACAGTACAACCTCGATTCAACGTACCCCGATTCAACGAATCTCCGGCTAGTTCAAATACTTTTTAGGCCGAATTTACTCATCCGGTTCGCCGAAGCGGGGGATGTTTGGATTTGCTTACGATGTCGAGACAGAGTTCACAGACTGATGGAAAACTTGCCCATTATATCACACATTACAATTAAAGATTCGCTCATATGAGAACTTCGATCACACAAGTGGACCACACAAGTGGACCGCACAAGTGGTCCACAAGCTTACGATGTTGGGACAGAGTTCACAGAGTGGTGGAAAACTGTCTCATTCCATCACAGGTTACAATTAATAATTCCTTCATATGACAAGTTAGATCGCACAAGTGGACCACACATGTGTGCCACACAAGTGGACCGCACAAGTGGTCCACAAGCTTACGATGTTGGGACAGAGTTCATAGAGTGGTGAAAAACTGTCTCATTCTATCTACAATTAATAATTCCTTCATAAGCCAAGTTGGATCACACAAATGGACCTCACAACACGTGAACCATATGAACCAAACACAAGCCAGAATGGTCCACACAACAAGAAAAGCATATTAACCAAACACCAGCCAGAGTGGTCCACACAAGTGAACGACCGAGTTTCAATGATTTTCGTTCCCTGATTTGTGGCACACGTATCTTTGTAAATTAATCTAAAGGCTGAAGCGTGAATAGCTAGCTAATGTGTTGAAAATCTTCTTATATACATTTTCTGTGATGAAAGAAGATAAGTGAGGGTGGACAGATAGAGGAATACTGTACTGTAAACCTCACTTTACAGTGAGGTTTCACTCACTTTCGTCTGTGTCGTTATAGTTCAGTAACCCATGACTTTGAACGTTTCAGATTAATAAATCATTTCTAAAACTGGTGTTTTAATTACCTTATTATCCTAATTAAACTAAACTTAAACCAAAAATATACTGTAATATGACAGATATCTGCTATTTGAGAAATTATTCATGTTATTGGCGGCTCACAAGTCCAACGCGAGTGGACAGGTCTAATCCGTGTGCACACACCATGTTTGTTTTGTTCGATTTCGTCGCTATAGTTCGGTGACCTACGGCTTCGAAATAATAAAATTGATAAATCAGTTCTAAAATAAGTATTTTTATAGCTCTTATTATCGTAATAATGTTGCTAAACTAAATATATAACCCAAAAATATATAATTTGATGTAAATCAAATATTTGAGAGAAATTTATGTTACTGGATCTGGCTTAAACACTAGCCTACTGTAGGGTGTACGTATAGACCTAGTCTTCGTTCATACAGTATGCACCCAGTGACATTAGTTTTGTCTGTGATTAACATACAGTATTTAACCGCCAGTGGAAGAATAATTGTGGAATTTACCATTTTTGGACTACAGCTGTATTGTTATACAACAAAATGTGTCATGGGCTTACTAATAGTGCCTTATTAATGCCAAAAATGAAGCAATATTTTGCAAGAACTTGTAGCAGAAAATCAACCAGGACGAGAACAGCTATACCCAGCACGAGAACAGCCGTACCCAGCACGAGAGCAGCCGTACCCAGCACAAGAACAGCCGTACCCAGCACGAGCACAGCCGTACCCAGCACCAGCACAGCTGTACCCAGCAACAGCTCGGAAGCAGCTGAAGCCACAGCAGCAGCAAGCACCAGCAAAGCTGATGCAAACATCTGAAAACATCGTGTGTGGCGTGAACAGATAGAACAAGTGCTAAATTTAAGTGTGTACATACTGTAGTGTTAAAATTAAAGTTGCAGTAATTTTAGTATTCAATAGTTTTCATAAACTGTATTGTAGTACTCAACATACAGCAAAACTACTTAATGAACACAGTGTTAATGGTATAATACACTACAGTACATATTTACTGTACAGCATTCACAACTCCACGATACTTCAAGATGGACATAACTCCAACAATAAGGTAAATAACAAATGTAACACAGTATTTTTTAGTAGGGTAATAATATATAGGTACAGTATATAATATGATAATGCATGTTTATTGTGTACAAGAAAAAAAAAAAAGACACTGATGCAAACGCCTCCTGAAGGTCACCTCTTGCAACGAATCCAACGCTCCAACGCACTGGGGTTGGTCCTATATAGTACGTTGAATCGAGGTTGTACTGTATTTCAATGTCTCTGATTTTTTCTCTGTTTTTTGTAGTAATATTATTCAATAGTGTGTAGTGTGATGTATTTATATAATAATATGTGTGAATCATTGCTATACTCAAAAGTATCGTGTGCATATTAGTGATTCAATTATGTTCATAAAACCAACAAATAGTTTTGACTTGCAATATCAACTTAGTGGTTCATTATGGTGAACAAAACATGCAGATACATATATATATAACCTGTGTATATAGTGTAGTAACCGACAAAGTATTTGTTTATTGTTTTATGAACACAATAATTGAATCAATAATATGCTCACCATAATTTTGAGTACAGCAATGATTCCCACATTTTATTATATATCACACTACACACTATTGAATAACATTACAGCAGAAAACAAAGAAAAATCAGAGACATTGAAATAATTAGGTAATTATCTCTGTGGCCACTCCTGCCTGACAGCTGGGGCGGAGCAGACCGCCTCGGACGCACGCTTAGTCAGCGCTTCTGTTTTGCCAGACTTCCCCACCCTATAGCGGGCAAAATATGCCACTTACAATTTGTTATTATTTTTTCCGTGATCAAGGAACACAAATCAACAGGTTTAGATTTTTTTGTTGTTGTTATGCGTCTGTGGGTAACAATGGGCAAATAGCCCTTAGCAACACAAGGGTTAAGGGTTAAGCTCCAGGGAGTTACTAAGAAGGCCAGAAAAAAAAGGAGTGCAGCCATATAGAAGGTAGAAGGTAGAAGAGAAAGACCAAGAAGATGGGCAAGCATTGTGAGAGTGTGAGCACAAGTTTGGTCAGAAGTCAATTCTTGACAATGTTTCTACAAGACAATTCACAAGAAAACCACTATACTGTATTTGTAAAATAAAAAAATTAAAATGCAATTTAACTATTCTGCATTTAGAAACATTTGTAGTGAATACTCTAATACATTTTCTAAAGTATGATTAATCCCTTACCTGTACAAGAGCAACAAGTGCTAGAAGAGCTGTAAATTCTTGACCGAGTAGCTGTCCAGGTTGAGTTAGGTTGACCATTTCCCACAGCACCCCCAAATATGGAGGAGGGAGACCAGTTTTCATCAGAAGCATATATGCTCGACTTGTGTCGACCCAGCCACCTTTGCCTTCTACCAGTGATCCTGCCTGTTGGTATACTGCTGGCATAGAATTACTGTCACTCAGCCATCCTGGAAGTTGTACCGATTTACTATCAGCCTTTTTAGTAACTGCTACACTGCTGCCAGAATTTTCCAAAGGTCCTGAAGGTAATCTTAGATGACCACCTTGACAATTTTCTAATCTCCCCAAGATCATTTGTGCAGCAGAGTCCATGACAGGTCCAGAGAATGAAGCATCAGAGATGGTGTCTGAACCATGTGATGGCAGTTGTGCTATTTGTCCTGCTCCAGATCCAACTGGCAGAGTACTTGCACCCTGAATAATAGAGATTAACATTTCACTCAGCATGGTGGTACACAATACTGTAATTAACTTCACTTTAATGATAAAGATTGAACTTGTTACTAATGATATTTGCTCACCAAGCTATTTGACAAATAACAAGAGATTGTGACTTTAATTTTAACTAGCCTTGCCAAATGTAACAGGCCATGAAAACTCTTATCTCAAGTTACGGGAAGCTTCAGCTGCTGGAAACCGCTAGAAGAACCAGAAAATTAATTATTCTTTACATCTGCAATGAACATCGTTTCGTATTCTCCATTTTATTAATTTTCTGCCTAAAAAACCAGCGTTGAATGTAATGAAACGCCATTTTCTGGGTGAGTCCCGGAGGCTCTCTGGAGCTATCCATGGCTGATATGGATACCCTAACTATTTTGCATCAGTCGATGTGGGTGGAGTTCTAGCTTACCGGGAACCACAAGCCAGAACCTGGCCTCCTCACAGAGGCCCGGGGATCAATGGCCCATAGAAATGCATATGTACTTTGGAGCATCCTATATCTGCCATTGACCGGGACAGGCACCCAGAAAGGTAAGCGCCACAAAACAAACCCCTATTTTGGTTAAAAACGAAAATCGTCAAACAAGTGGATAGAACTCCCCAAAAGAAAAACAAGCAACCAAGCATGACGTCACACGAGCCGTGCCGCATGTCTGCGCAGCTCCCCCCTCCTCAGGAGGGGGAAGGGGGAGCCCCAGACCCTCGCGCCGGCAATTCTCGCCCCAGTTCTAAGGCTGGATATCAAAAATCGCGAAAAAAAAACACCAACCAGAGGGAGGGAGGGTTACCGGGGAGCCTCCGGGATTCGCCCAAAAAATGGCGTTTCATTACATTCAACGCTGGTTTTCTGGGGGGAGCCCCTACGGCTCCCCGGAGCTACTTCCCCAAAGACTACAAAAGAAAAAGGGAACTTACCCGGGAGGTGGTCAGTGCTCCACTCTTCAACTCGAAATCAAGACAACGGGCTGCAACCGCCAACCCAAAGCAACACGGGCCCAACTGGGCCCAGGAATGTTCACAAGGTAGCGTACAGCCAGGACCCTGTTCGACCGCCAAAAACCCCGTGCCCAAATGTCAGCCCAAGACATATTGCCAAAGACGGCAACAAGAGCAGCAAACTTACGAACGTCATGGGCACGGGGATAGACCGCAGGCTGGCTGGATTTAATAACCCTGCGGACGACCTGAGAGACCCGAACTCCGCGAACAGGGAAGGGAAACCGGATCAACCCAAAGAGCGTCCATGGACACAGAGGACGTGGTGCGCAAATAATGGACGAGGGCTGCAACCGGACAACACATGGTGAACCCCCAGCCTGTCAAACCAAGCATCAACAACCCAAGGACCCCTCCGGAAAGCAGTAGTCTCATTCTTCGCCAGAAAAGGAGACGGCTGCAGACGAACATACTTATGACCTCGACCAAAGGAGCAAAAATCTCTGCGCATGAGAAGAGCATGATGCTCTGCCACACGACCCCCAGAGGCCAATGCCAACAGAAAAAGAGCCTTAGCGAAGCAATCCTGGACCGAAGGGGCCACAACAAACTGAGGAAAAGAAAGATAGGAGAGCACTCTGTCCAAAGACCAGGACGGCTCAGGTGGCGCATGAGCAGGCCAGAGGTGAAACAACGCACGGAACATAAGGAAAAGGGGCAAAAGTAACATCGATACCGAAAGCAAGCTGCAGCGGCTCCGCCAGAGCCGCACGATACGAGGCGACAGTATTAGGCATAAGATGACGGTCCTGGAACAACCAAGAGAGAAAGGACATCACCCCCCGAACCGAAAGCGAAGAGCAACGACGAAGAGACAAAAAGAACCGGAAGGACCGCAAGGAAACTTCATACTGCTTCAGAGAGGAAGCCCACAGGTGGGAAACCAACAAGGAAGCCACCTGATCACCATAGAGATGGTGATAAACACGAGTAAAAAACACCAAACGCGAAGACTCGCAGAGAAGGGCGAACCAGTCTCGTACTGGACCGGGCCGATCTCCTGAAAGAGGAGCAGCCGCGGAAAAACCTCCGGGTTCGGACACCGGGCACGCAGCGCCTGAAACCACGGCTGGGCCAGCCACCATGGGACCAAGAGGACTACTCGCCCCTGGTAAGTCTCCAAGCGAGTCAAGACCTGGACCAACAGCTGAACCGGGAAAAAGAGGTACAGGAACCCCCACCTCGACTAGTCCTGCCGAAAGGCGTCGATCCCGACAGCCTCGCAGTAACGGAAGGGTGCCACGTAAACCGGAAGACACCTCGACCATGCCGACGCGAAGAGGTTCACCTCCAGGCGTCTGAACGTCCGGCAGAACCATTGTTTAAGCAATTGTCTAAGGAAACCCCAGTTAGCTCGAGATGATTTCGGGGCTTAGCGTCCCTGCAGCCCGGTCCTTGACCAGGCCTCCTTTTTGTTACACACCCCCAGGAAGCAGCCCCGTAGCAGCTGTCTAACTCCCAGGTACCTATTTACTGTTAGGTAACAGGCGCATCAGGGTGAAAGAAACTCTGCCTATTTGTTTCCGCCTCCACCAGGAATCGAACCCAGAACCTCAGGACTACGAATCCGAAGTGCTGTCCACTCAGCTGTCAGGCCCCCACTGTATTGTATTTGGGAGTATTCCATGTCTGTCATCGACCAGGGTTAAGCACCCAGAAAGATAGGCACCCAAAAGCAAACCCCACTTGGTAAGAAATTGTAAACCCAAGACCGGACAGAGAAACAGAACTCCCACATAAGAAATCAAGGAAACAAGCAAACATCATCAACCACCACAGCGCCGCTTGTCTGCGCAGCTCTCACCCCCCCCCCCCTCCCCCACTCTTAATTCAGAGACTGACCAGTTCGGAGGCTCACCCAGAAAATGGTGTTCCATTACACTCAATGCTGGTTTTTTGTAGGAAAAACTTCCTGCAAAAGTTATGTAGCTTCAGCTCCTTGGAGCTACATAACCAAAGATAAGTAAAAGAGAAACTTACCCAGGAGGTGGCCGCACCGCGTGCCTTAACTCGAAGACGAGACAACTGGTGGCCCAAGGCCACACAAGAACGACTTGGACCCGGTGTATTCACCAAATAATGGGTGGCCAGGACCCTGTTCGACCTCCAAAACCCCTGTGCCCGAATGTCAGCCCAAGACACATTCCCAAACACAGCGGCCAAAGCAGCAAATTTATGAACATCATGGGCATGATGGTACACAGCAGGCTGGCTAGACTTAATAACCCTGCGGACAACCTGAGAGACCCGAGCCCTGGAACAGGGAATAAGGGAAATCGAATCAACCCAAAGCGTGTTCACGACCACAGAAGCCGAGGCGCGCAGGTAACAGCGAAGAGCCGCAACCAAACACATTATGTTATCTTGAGAAGATTTAGAGACGTAGTGTCCCCGCGGCCCGGTCCTTGACCAGGCCTCCTTTTTGTTACACCCCCGCCCCTGGGAAGCAGCCCGTAGCAGCTGTCAAACTACCAGGTACCTATTTACTGTTAGGTATCAGGGGCATCAGGGTGATAGAAACTTTTTGCCCATTTGTCTCCGCCTCCACTGGGGATCGAACCCTTAACCTCAGGACTATGAATCACCCTTCGGCCTACCTACCAAATATCAATAACCCACGGACCCCTTCGAAAACCTGTTGTCTCGTTCTTCGCAAGAAAAGAGGAGACAGCTGCAACTGAACAACTGTCAACCAGGACCGAAAGAGCAGAAACCCCTAAACCGGAGGAGAGCATGAAGCTCACCGATCTGACCCCCAAAGGCTAATACCAACAGAAACAAAGCCTTCTGAAAGCAATCTTGAACTGAAGGGGCCACCACAAACCGAGGGGGAAGAGATGAAGAGAGAGCACCCCGGTCTAAGGACCAGGATGGCTCAGGTGGTGCATGAGCAGGCCGGAGGTGAAACAAAGCACAAGAAAGCTTAAGGAACGGGGCAGAAGTGACATCCACCCCGAAAGCAAGCTGGAGCGGCTCCGCCAGCAGCACATGATAAGAGGCGACAGTATTTGGCACAAGATGATTGTTCTGAAAGAGCCAAGAAAGAAAGGAAAAAAAACAACCCCGAACAGAAACAGAAGACAACCTACAAAGAGAGAGGAAATGGCAAAAAGAACACCAAGAGACTTCATACTGCCGCCGAGACGAAGATTGCATGTGGGACACCATCAACAAAGCCACCTGATCGCCATATAAGTGGTCATACATGCGCGGCAAAAAGACCAGACGAGAAGAGCGGAGAAGTAGACTGAACCAGCCAGGTACTGGACTGGCCCGATCTGCTGTAAGAGGCGGAGCCATGGAAATCGGCCCGGATTCGGACACCGAGCAAGCAGTGACTGAAACCATGACTGGGCTGGCCACCACGGGGCCACAAGGATGGCTCTCCCGCGATAAGATTCCAAACGAGCTAGAACCCGAAGCAACAGCTGGACCGGAGGGAAAGGGCACCACATATAAGGGAGACGCCGGGACCATGCCGCCGTAAAGAGGTCCACCTCCGGGGTCCCGTATGTCTGGTAGAGCCAACTGAAGGAGTCGGCGTCGACCGTCCATCCGTGGACAGGGGAATAAACTACAACAACCCATCCGTCAAGACATTGGAAACTCCACTGCTGTGAACCGCACGTAGAACCAAACACCGAGAAACCAGCAGACAACCCCAAAGAGCCAAGGACAGAAGAGCCCCCATGGTTTAGTCAATGAACCACCAGGATGTAGTCCGAATGGAGCCTGATCGTAGAGTCCCGAGGGACCTGAACCTACCGCAGCGAAAACCAGACTGCCGCGAACTCCCGAACCATGCTGTGAGCCCGACGGAAGGATGGACCCCCACCATCCCCGGCCAGCCTTGTGAGCACTGATCACAAAGCCCCAGCCAAGAGACCGGTCAGTGAACACATCGAGTGAAGGCACGGGGAGGTGCCAAGGCACTGAACCCCGAAAATCCCAAAGATGAAGCTGGCGACGCAGCA